TAGATTTCCCTCTGACTTTGACTTCCAAGATAAAACCACTGAATTATTCTTTGTCCCTATTTCTCTGTTTCTTCTTCATTTTCCCCCTGACTTTAGGGTTCCTCTTGTTCTTTCCTACCCTAACAACTCTGAACATGATGTCAGAGATCTTATGCTAATAAAAATAAGACGTCCTACAAAAAAATAAATAAATAAAACTTGCTCACTGAGACAGTGTAGTAATGTTTGCCGCAGGTTCTAAGAAATAGTAAAATTTTTGTTTTTTTTTTTTGTTTCCCAGAATAGCAAGCTAGCCTTCCAAGATGAAAACCAACATTATGGTTGTCAGGTGCAGAGAACTTCTCTAGCCCCAGCCTGTTAGGCAGATCTTAGATCAGTTGTGTTCAGGGTTCACAATGCCCTTCTGATTGTGCCAATTTCTTTGCTTGTGTGTAGTGGGTCTCCCTTATTTCTCCACTCTCCCTACCTCCTGCCATATACTCAGTGTTGGGGCACTCTTTCTCATTCTCTCTTCCACTATCCAGAGTATCTGAGCTTCTCCAAGCCTCTGTTCACTATTGAACTCAAGCTTTTTCCCACAGTCACTAACCTGGAAGAGTAGCAGCTTTCTAGTTGTTTTGATTCCAAGTTGTAGATAAGCAGTTGAGTGTTGGTTGTTTCTAATCCACCATCTTGAAAACACTCTTCTTATCTGTCTTTGGTATTAAGGTAATACTGGCCTAATAGAATGAATGAATGAATGAATGAGTTAGAAAATATTTTCTCCACTTCTGTTCAAATGGGCTTTTTTGTTTGTTTGTTTATTCTGGGTATTGAACCCAGGGCCTCACATGCTAAGGATACATTCTACCACTGAACTACACATCTACCCACAAATGGACATTGTTTTTAGTACCCAAATGTGTGATAATTTATACAACAGAAAATTAAAACAAGTGCTAAAGAAAAGCAACAAGAAATATTGTGTCCCTTGATGGAAGAAGAAACCATCTTCTGGTCTAAATCTAAATACCATTTATCTTTGGAAACAAACTAATGTTTTAGTCAGCTTTGCATTACTGTAACTAATATGAGACAAGAATAACTTAGAGGAGGAAATGTTAAATTGTAAAGGCTTACTATTTAACAGGTTCATCCCATGGTCAGCCAGTTCCATTGCTTTGGACCTGAGGTGAGGCAGAAAGATGGCAGAGGAAAACTGCTCAGTTCATGACAGCCAGGAAACAGAGAATGAGGTGCTAGGAACAAAATATAAACCCAAGCAGAATACAACAGTTACTATTATGGCATTATGTAAAAATGTGGATGTGTAACTGATGTGATTCTGCAATCTTTGTAATGTTTTGAATAACCAATAAAAAAAAAATATAAACCCCAATAACAAATATGGAAGCAGAGAAGAATGACTGTTTCTGTATGAAACTATGGAAGAGACTTTCTAAAGACCAAAGATACTAAAAGCTGAATATTGCTTTCATCTAATGAAAATAGAAAGCATATTAATAGATTAAATATAATAGGTATTGCTATAAGAGATAAAATTATTTCATTTACAAGTGGAAATATTATTGGGATTTTTTTTTTTTTTTTAGGTGGTGATAGTGGACTGGATGGGTTAGGAGGACCAGGTGTGCAACTAGGAAGCCCAGATAAGAAAAAACGAAAGGCAAATACACAGGTAAATTGACATTTTCTTTACTAATAGTTTTCCCTTATTGGTATGATCAGGCTAATAAAGCAAATTTTAAATTTGATAATGGGCATTGTTTTCTATCTTTATCTGGAATCTAATAGTGAATTCCTCAGTGATTTTTTGTTTGTTTTTTATTCCTCAACCAATGACTAACTTTGGGTAGGCCTAGAGTAAATAGTTCAAGGTAAGTATAGGCAGACAAATTAAAATACTTGTTCTTAAATCTTACTTAAAGATTTTTTAATGGCAAAAGTGCCTGCGTTCTATTACAAGATTTAAAAAATATGTACAAACAAATTTAACCTGAAGTAATATTAAGTTGTTATAATAATTCAGTATTATGTGCATTTTTCACAAAGCAATTATGATGGAGGCATCCATTATTGGAACTTGTAGTTGTAATAAATGATTATATATACAGGCTTTTATGGCTTTATTCTTTAAGTTTGAAGCACTCTTTTGATAATAAAGGCTATAAATAAGTATAATATTTGTACAAATAACTTTGCCTTTCCATTTTGGCCACTATCTGATAAACTTGCAATGTGATTAAATCTGGCAATTTATTTTTCCAGTGTGAAGTCTAGAGCTTAGTGTTTTGGTAATGCTTTAATTGTATCTCCCTGAAGTTAAGCTAAGAGGAAAAAAATTAGATCCTATTTATTGTTATTTAATTTTATGATTTTTGAAGGATCTAAAAGGTATTTTGGGTTGAAGGGATCTAAAAGGTAGTTTGGCGTTAGTGTTTTAAGTGAAAGAGTTTAGTTACAGGAAAACATACTAAATGAAAATTATGATAATGAAACTTCTTTTGAAGGTTAAATACTTGAGAAATTTGAAATAACAATGGATTTGAGCTCAGAAAAGCATACTTATTTCCTTTCCTAAATGAAACATGACTATTTTTATCATTAAGCATAATTATATGTTAAAATTAATTGTAATTGAAAGGTCAGGTGAAGAAATTAAATTTTTATAACACCATAAGAGAAACTTGACTAAAACCAAATTCATAGGTATTAAGATAACAGGAAAATTGTAATGATTTTTAGTTAAGAACATGAACTTTACATTTTCTTTTCAGGGACCTTCTTTTCCTCCATTATCTGAGTATGCTCCACCACCGAATCCAAATTCTGACCATCTAGTGGCTGCTAATCCATTTGATGACAACTATAATACTATTTCCTATAAACCACTACCTTCATCAAATCCATATCTTGGCCCTGGTTATCCTGGCTTTGGAGGCTATAGCACATTCAGAATGCCACCTCACGTTCCCCCAAGAATGTCTTCCCCATATTGTGGACCTTATTCGCTCAGGAATCAGCCACACCCATTTCCTCAGAATCCTTTGGGCATGGGTTTTAATCGACCTCATGCTTTTAACTTTGGGCCACATGATAATTCAAGTTTTGGAAATCCATCTTATAATAATGTACTAAATCAGAATATTAACATGCCTAATCAACATTTTAGACAAAATCCTGCTGAAAACTTTAATCAGATTCCTCCACAGAATACTAGCCAAGTATCTAACCCTGATTTGGCATCTAATTTTGTCCCTGGAAATAATTCAAGTTTTACTTCTCCATTAGAATCTAATCATTCTTTTATTCCACCTCCAAACACTTTTGGTCAAGCAAAAGCACCACCTCCGAAACAAGACTTTAGTCAAGGAGCAACTAAAAACACTAATCAAAATTCATCTGCTCATCCACCTCACTTAAATATGGAGGATACAGTGAATCAGAGCAATATTGAATTAAAAAATGTTAATCGAAACAATGCAGTAAATCAGGAGAACAGTCGTTCAAGTAGCACTGAAGCTACAAACAACAGCCATGCAAATGGGACACAGAACAAGCCACGACAACCTAGAGGTGCAACAGATGCCTGCACCACTGAAAAAAGCAATAAATCATCTCTCCACCCAAGCCGTCACGGCCATTCGTCTTCTGACCCAGTGTATCCTTGTGGAATTTGTACAAATGAAGTGAATGATGATCAGGATGCCATCTTATGTGAGGCCTCTTGTCAGAAATGGTTTCACCGGATCTGTACTGGAATGACTGAAACAGCTTATGGCCTACTAACAGCAGAAGCATCAGCAGTATGGGGCTGTGATACCTGTATGGCTGATAAAGATGTCCAATTAATGCGCACTAGAGAAACTTTTGGTCCACCTGCAGTGGGCAGTGATGCTTAATCACAAGCATTAACTAAAGTGGGGTTTTCCCTCTGTATTACAGAGCTTTGGTGACACAGGATTTTAATGTTTTACGTTATTTTTTTAAATACACACAGAAAACATTTACCTTTTAGTTTTTATTAATATTTCACTTCATTACTAATACAACTTTGTATTGTCTTTGTTTGCTCTCTTAAATGAGGATAATGTATGTGGGGTACTTTAGAAACAAATAAATGTTAGTAGTTATTTATCATAAACATAAAAGCCTCTTGAAGCTTCAAAATAATATAACAAATCTAGGCAAGTTTTAACTTTTAAAATGTGTATTTCAGTGGTGAATTTTGGCTGTATCACATTAAACATTTAATTAAAAAGTTTCTGAAGGATCCATTTAAATATTTCCAAACATAATATGTGGAGATATAACATGGGGGAAAGCATACATTTTAATGGATTTATTTTAAATAAGAAGAGTATGGCACCAGATTCCTCCTCTACTAGGGTCTTTGAAATAAGTGAATTTCATACTTTAAAATTAGTCTTTCCAGGATATGTATACAGATATGAGACAGAGACAGATTTTAGCATATAGATTCTCAGCATTTGTTTATTAACTTGTGGATTGTATCACATGAAATTGCTAATATTAGATCAGTTGAAAATTGACCGCACTTAGTAAAGTTGTCATAAAGTATGTTTCCAATATTACTATTTAGAATTATGATAGTATTTTGGTCTTAATTTTCTTTGGTTATTGAGTTGTTTTGTTATTGTTGTCCAGAGAAATAAATAATATGATGTCCTCCGAAGAATTGTGAACACTTTCTTTTTTATGATTTAAACTTGGACATATTGCAAATGAAGAAGGTAGAAACACCGGTTTGGCTTTAGAGGACACTGCTGGCAAAAGAACTAACTACTTAGTTTGAAAATTCTTGTTCTGGGGATCTGAATTTCCAATATGTACCTCAGGGAAGATCAAAATCCATTTAAATAAAGACCAATTAAGAGCTTAGGTGAAAGCTAACTTACAAACAATCAGTAATTTGAGGCCTTGCTGAAGGCTAAGGAGTTTTTGCTGTGACTGGGTAATGTGTAAAAATGGAACCGAGAGTGTACTCTAGAGAGAGAAAGAACAGTTACAGTTGAAGGTATGCTCACTCAGACTCAAATAGAAAACAAAACAAAACATGTTGAGAGCAGATCATAACTGGTGACCAAATAAATAAAAAGATACAGTATGACAATTGATAGTAATTTATACAATGATTGAATGTTGATGAAACTCTAATAATTCACCACCATTATCATTGCCACCAAAAAAGTTTGGAAGACAATGGTGATCCTTGAAGGAGATAATTACTACAATTTGAACCTGGGGAAGCAATGACAGCAGCAGCATGTTGCCAAGAAATCTGAATTATGTATGAAAATTTTGATTTAACAACATCCTTTGGTTAACAAACATAAACCCTCATTTCTACATGACAGGACTTTACATGTCGCAAGTCACTAACACAAATTGACTTGGGTGGTGAAATTTTGTCATTATCTATCATAGTTCCTGGACCTTCAATGGATTACCATCTTTTTCATCATTTGGAGCTTTTTCTAAGAAACAACATGTTCCCCAACTGAGAATCAGTAACTAGAGTATTTGAACAATATATACATCCTAAGAAAATGATGAATTCTATAAAAATGGAGAAAACTAATGCTAATGTTTCTGATACATATCTTATGGAATAAAACTTAACTTTTAAAAATAGTGTTTTACTTTTGACCCACAAAACAGCAATTTCATATGGTACAGGTAATAGTTTTCTCCTTCTACCCTCAACTAGTTAGAGGTGAGTACAAAATATTTTCAGAGTTGTATATCTTCACAATTTTAGGAAATGAAATGAGATAAACTCTAATACTAGGTGTTCTTTTGTGTGAAAACTTTACCAATTGAAGCAGGTCAAAATGCATTGTTTTGGGCTGACTTTGGCATTTTGATGATGCTCAGTACATACCTGAAGATTCCATTTTGCTTACTTTGTAGTTTTGTTAAAGAGAGATAATTTTCTAAACATTGAAGGACCTAGTTTTGTTTTTCCTGAAATTTTCTTGAGTAATGATTTTTAAGAAATGATAGAGTACATGCTATATCACCACTTCTAGCATCAGATCATGACTTTTTTTTGACTGAGTTGAACTAGATATATATTTTTAATGGAACCTTCCAATGCCCTCAGGATTTAACACTTGATGTGGCAGTGTGTACTTGAGTTGTGCTCATTGCTAAATTTTTTAAAAAATATTCTTTTAGTTGTAGATGAACACAATACCTTTACTTTATTTAGGCGCTAGGCTAGTGCTCTACCACTGAGCCCCTCATTGCTAAAATTGAGTATGCAGTTTCTTAAAACGTTCGTTGCTTACACTTTAAGTAGTTACCTGTTTTTGTAAAAGTGAAATAAGTGGTTTTTAAAAAACCATATAAACAAATAAATTTTTATTCAAGTGTTTAGGTTTTCAAAACACCTTACTCTAAGAATCTAATGGTTCTAAAGGAAAACCTATGATTGATTCTGACATAAATCAACCAAACTATAATCATTGCTGATGAATATTTTCATGTGTTTGAATTAATTTTTTACTAATTCTACATTTGTCTCTACAACACTCTAAAATTATATAGATGGTAGGTGCTTTGGGGTAGGAAAAATGATGAATTATGAAGATGGCCAGAAAATTTGTCCAATTTGTCACAAAAAAGTCCGTTAAACAAACTGATACTATTTTCTTAGGAAAAGTGTTGAGCTTCTCTCAACTACAGAAATATGCAGTGATGGATATAGATGGTGGAATTGTATCTTTCGAGGTATTATCCCTTTCCTTCCCTGAAAAGCCTCATCTCATGCATTCATATACAAGGACACACAACCAAGTAGGATTAGAATTTCTCCTACATTCTCAAGTTTCACTAAAGTTCAAAATGGCTAAATATTAGCATCTAGGCTCACTCACCAATGCCAAGTTACTAATGAAAAGTTTTCAAGCATCAGTTTTTTTCTTAGGACTTGCTTTGCTCATTCATGATTCCTGGTCAACTTGCTTCTAGATGTTACTGGACACACTAATACTGAAACAGCTTAGTTTATAATAGAAAATTAATTGTTCTTCAGGTAGAGTACTTAGAATTAGATTTGTGATCAGTGATTTCCTTTTGAGTAAAATGCTTTAGAGTACTGCTGTTATGATTCTTGTTACCCAAATTAGAAGGTTATATACATGAAACTGAAGATTTTCTTGTACTAGTTCTTAGTCTTCATAGATAAGCACAATGTAAATCAGGTTTTTTGGTAGGTTCCCCCCCGCCCAGACTCCCAGTTCTGCTTAGTGGCAGAAAAAAATTCTTTTTACGAGTATGGGTCACCATGAAATCTGCTGACTTTAATCATCCACATAAAATCAGTACCAAGAGTTTTCATCTAACATGCTTTCAAACTTTTGTGTCTTGAACAAATTAGAATGCTAGTATTTATTATCCAACATACTAATTGTATTTAATAGTAAGAAAACATAAGCAATGATTTTTTTAAAAGGGAGTTAGAAAGTGTTTGGTTTTCTTTTGCAATGTACAGAGTTTTCATATGCATGAGCATTTGTGCTACTTTAGACTTTTTTTTTTAATTAAGAAAGTTGAAAAGCATCCAGGCTCCCAAAGTTCATTTGTAAATAGTGGCTTGGACTCTATATAAAATGATTAGATTCCTAGGGAAGCTCATAAAAGTGTATTTAAACCATAATGTAGTTAACTGCTGTTATCCTGAGATTTCAGTTTTCTTAAGGAAACCAGTCAATGTAAGAGAAAAAAAGAGATCTTTACTTTTTTCTGTGTTGAGGAAGGTTAAGTTCTGTTGTTTCCCAGTGGCTCTTTTACAGTTTTAAACTCTCTGGTGTAATGCTGCACAAACAAGCTTGTCTTTCCCCCTCCTGGATGCTCTATCTCTCAAATTTTCCCATCTCCTCTAAACAGAAATTATGTTTGTGTCGTTATCTGTTGGCTAGATTTAAGAGAAAAACATTTTTCTGCTCATATGAGTGAAGATAATGGAGAAAATGACTTAATGTTTTAAAAAAACAAATCTTCAAAATGAATCTTTAATATTACCATTTTAGACTGTATGACCACATTTCAGGCATCAGGGAAAACAGTATTTTTAGCAAATTAACTGGTATTGTCTTAAGACTATTTCTAATATCTTTAGGTTGTTTTGCCTTTTCACAATTTGCTGTCCTCTAATTCTGAACTCGAAAGATTTCCTCATTTTCAAATCTGAAACTTTCCCTTTCTTTTTTTCATTTATCCAGTAGAGCAGTTAAAAAGTCACAACTGCGTTTTCGAGCTTTTGGTAGAGAGAGGTTTGCAGGCATCTCTGGAGTGAGCAGGCTAGGGATAACAATAACATCTTCCAAGACAAGTGGTTAAAGGGAAATGAAAGGAAGAAAATGGCCATGTGTGTGCCAGGCATTAACACATCCCAAACTGCCTGTGCTTATTAAAAACTTTAAATGAAATCCAATGGATAAGATTCATCTTTGTCATATTTTATCAATAATACATTTACTTGCAATTATATTAAAACTTACTCTAAATATTGGTACCTTTCTTATTCTGTAGATAATATAGATGATGTTGCTTGTTAGTTAAAATGTTATCTTTTATAAAAGAAAGTCCTGCTTCTTATCATGATGTATGTGACTTAAATGATTGTTTCATATTAAAACTATTTCTTCCTTATGTACTGTTTACATATACCTCTTTTTGGGATATTAGTTCAGTACTTTTATACAAATCTGAATGTGTTCCACATTGGTGACATGTATTTTTGCAGTAATTTTTGTTTTGTTCTTAGAGCATGTCTAAAGTTATACATGCACTAGTGCTGTGGTCTGTGACAAAATTACTGTAATTCAAATTGGAAAACAAAATGTTTCCAGACTTTGTCCACCACTTATTCCTATGGCAAAGGAAATTACTATGTAATACTAATTACTTCTTATGCTGGTATGTTTTAAGCTACTCTATGAAGTATGTGAAACATCAATATTTATGGATTAGTAGATGGTCTGATGTCTTTGAAATGTGAGAGAGGAGTAAAATTGGTGTTAGCAATTTATGATACTCATAAAACACTAAAATTTGTATAAAATTTTAAATTTGATCTTCTATAGATATGATTTACCAAGAAATTAACTGACAGTGCTTATTAATATTCTTTTAGCCCATGCTACTAAAATTATACCATAGACATTGAACTTAAGCAAATATCTCCCAACCAAAAGTAGTATCATTCTCTCCACCATGACCAAAATAAGTAGTAAAACTAATCTTCACTTATTAAAGAAGTGATTAAGATACCATAAAACTCCTCTACTTTACTTGGAATTTGTACTGTTGATACAAAGACTTGAATGCAGTTTACTTTGTATTATCTGATGGGAAGACTTATTAATAAAAGTCATAATCAAGATTTAAAAATGTTTAATTTTGAAGGCAAATTAAAAACGTTTTTAAATTTTAGAGGCATTTATTTAAGAAAATTAGTTTTAAATCATTCTTATTTTGTCATAAAAACAACCAAAAGAATTGTAATAGATGATACTTGGCCAGTGCACGTTTGTATATTTGAAATCACATGCTTGAAAGAAAAAAACCCTGCTCCTGAGTGCTTAAACTGCATATCTTTTAAAAATGTTAAAGATATTAGACTTTTATCAATTCAAACTGTCCTGAATGAATGTTTTACTACACCAGTGAGTATGTTAGAAAATAAATGTATACCTATATTATGTTAATAACATTTCTGTACAGCATCATATTTGGCATGGTGGTTGTGGTATGTTTTGTACTTTTGATTGTCAACTTTTGATAGGATTAATATAGCAATAAATCTGACTTAGTCTTAATATTTTTTTAAAATGCCAGGTAACATACTGTGTCATAATCTCATTATATTTTACTTGAGTGCCCATATTTTCATAGGTCTATTTTTTTGTGTTAAAAATTTTAATATTACATGTTAGGGGTTGTGTGTGTGTGTGTGTGTAATACTTTTACATACAATCTTTTAGAACTGGGTGTTTCTATTTTAATTATAGAGATTTAAAGAAGTATTAGTATTAAATGATCATGAACTGTTTTGTGGCAAAGTTTAAGTATGAGATTACTAGATCACTCCAAATTCCTTATTATCCTTAAGTGATATATATATATATATATATATATATATTACAATTTTCAAAGAAATAAAATTATCTTGGTAACTGATAGATTATAGTAAATCATGAGGTAGTTTGTTTAAAGGCTTCCAAGTGTTAATTACATTCTCTGTCCTAAATACTTTTAAACAATTACTCTAAATAGTAGTAAGCCAGTTCAATTTTATATTTTTGAGATGTTTAACTCTTACAGTTTCTCCCTTCTGATCCTTTTCCCTTCTTCCCTAAACACCATGCTAGAATTTAAAACTGGATTTTACTTTGCCTTCCACTTTTCAATTTTTTAGTCTAAAGTAATAAAACAAATAAAGGTTCCACTGTCAAGACAGTTCATGTTATTGTTGGCCATTCTTTTCAGGGATAATGCTAATGTCATTTGTGCATTGTACAAAGAATGTCAGTATATAGACCTATTATTGGTAGAAATGATGTATAGCAGGCTTTCTTGAATAATGTGTATGGTAAGTTTGTTTCCTATAGTGTTATTATGCTGAAGATTCTTTTAAATAAAGCTAGTTTTTAAAGAGAAAAAGATCTGTTTTAAGTATTTGACTTTCATCAGGACAAATAGGTATGAGCATCTTGGCTTTGGGAGGGATATGTCCAATAAAACATCAAGTAGGATTAAGGTCATCAATTTACCAGGAAATTAATTTCATACTGAGACCCAATATTTTTGTCCAGGACTTGTTATATACATTATTTTTCTTGCAGTGGATTATGTACAGAATGATCATAATTCATTTCTAAAAAGTTAGGAATGATCATATGACAAAATGCTGTGGTTATCTTTGAGTAACAGAAGAACAGATGATTTTTCTAATTGTATTAGGGAAGGGATGTGGGATAGGAAAAGGAAAGACAGTGGGATAAATCCAAAATAATTTTCATATGTACTTATATGAATACACCATAGTGAATCCCCCCATCAGGTACACCCATAAGAATGGGATCTGTTAGCATAATTGCAGCCATCTTCCTTTTCCCCACCCCCACTTTAAGAATACTGTTCCCAAGAAATAGAAACTAGATAAAACCTACCGGCCTGGAGATGTGCTGGTCTCTCCCTGTTCTCTCATTGAGAGATAGATAGGAGACAACTTATTGGACCCTGAGATAGGGATGCACTGGTTTTCCTGTTCTCTCTGTGAGAAGAGAAAGGGACATGCCAGTTTTCCTGTTCCCCCTCAGAGATAGGAAAGCTGCCTGTCTCTGTTCCCCAAAAACAATCTTGCCTTCCACAAGATCTGGGGATGCTTACTATGTCAGTCAAGACTATACCTGCCCCTAGCATGAGCCCATGATTCTAGCCTATAAAAGGTAACATTAAAGGTGAGTTGCTCCTCCTGCTCTCCCTCCTTGCTGCTACTGTCCCTCTTTTTGTGCACAGCAGCCTTTTCAGGCTCCTAACAATAAACTCGCTTCTTATCCCAGCTGCGTGTGTGATTAGTCCTGTGTCACTTTTCTTTCATTGATGCCAGTGACTCTATCAGGTTCTCCCATCAGTTTTGCCCCCCACCCCGGGGGGGGGGGATTTGAGCTGCTTTAGGATCCTGGCCTTAGGGCCCAGGACAGTCACCACATACCTTCTTCCATTCACTGAGTGCTCTTCTTCTGCATCCCCACACCAGCTTCATTTGGGTAAGTGACTTCACCCTTCCCCTCCCCTCCTCACAAGTCTACTCTCTAGAGACGGCAGTGACAAGTCTCCTCTTTAGAGGAGACTTAGATCTTGGCCCAACACCAAGATTCTTGACCTTCCCATCCCTTCCCCTTGGCGAGTTCACTCTCGGGTCTTGGTTCTCAGCTCCTCAGCAGAGCTCCCAAAAGCCCTGGCCAGGTACCAAGACCTGATGAATGGCAAAACCCAGAACTAGGGAAGTACCAGGAGACTACCTGCTTCTCAGTCCCAGAAAGGCTTCAGCCCTGGACCAGTGAATTGTGTGGTGTCAACCCCCTTCACTGTTGTCCTCTCTCCTACTCTGGTTTAGCCTAGAGCCAGAGATGCCTGCCTCTAGCCACTCCACTATTTCAACTTGCCATGGGGAACTCCCAATCTAAAATCCCCTTTGACTCACCTGACTCATCTGCCTCCTTGCCCACTTAGCCCCTCTCCGTTTGGCTCCAGATCTGAAGGCCCATCAACTAATTCAACTTTCCACTCAGTCATGCCCTTCTATGACTTGGCCAATGGATCTAGAAGGCCACCAACAGCACCTTTGGTTCCATTATTTTATGGGGCAAGTGCTCAGGAAAATGGAAGGAAATCCCTTATGTGCAGGCTTTCTAAAACCTTTCTGCACTCTGAGCCTTCCCTTTGTTCCTCTTGCTCCCCTGCCCAGCTTCTACTTGCCACTAAAACTCTGGATTCCTCCAGAAACTCTACTTCTAGACAAACAAGGGACCTAGAACACCCCTCCCTTCTTCTATTGGCATAGTTCATTGTAAAGCCCTAGGCAGCAATTTCCCTGCCCAAAGCCACACTGAAGCTAACATTAAAATACAAACAGCAGATTCAACAGGCTTGATAAGAGGCCTCAGACTAAAAAAAAAAAAAAAAGTTGTCAATTTAACTTTTCTCTCATTGGTGCCGTGACTTGGATAAATTTTAATAATAAACATGTATTCCATTGGGAAGCAGGAAATACAATTTTAAATAGTAAATAGGAAAAAAATGATTAGAAAAAATATCAAGGAAATTTGACATGAAGAAATCTGATAGTGAAAAACAACTAACCAATATCTTTTGAAATTTCAATCCACTCAAGATAAAAATAATAGCCTGAGAAAGAACTTAAGTATACTTAGAATTGTGAAAGGTAAACTAAAAAAATAAAAATGAAATTATGAAACCCAAATAACTGGACATTATTCAACATTTATTGTCAAGCTCTGTTCTAGTGCTAAAACTACAGCAGTATATGAGAAAAAATTAAATAATAAAAAAATTTCATGAGGTTTTTTTTAGTGATGCAGACAACAAACTATAAAGAAAGGATACGTACTATGAAGAAATAAAGGTAATGGAATAGGGTGTGTTGGCACAAATGGGCAGGAAGTACAAAGTAATTCATAGTTTTTAATAACTTAAAAAACATTTAGGTGAAGAGTTGAAGGAGTAAGGAAGACCATCATAGTGAACTGCAATTAGCATAATTGCAGCAGTAAATATGGTCCTGTGGTGGGATCATGCTTGGCGTATTACAGATTTTTCAGTTCATGTGGTTGGAATGAAGTGAACAGGCAGAGGATTGACAGAAGAAGGATTCAGAAATTTTAGAGGAGGCCAGATAATGTGAGGCTTTATCCACCAATTGTAGAATGGACAAATCTTTGTACATTCATGTAATATAAGAAAAAGAACTGATACACATTCTGAAGGCAAAAGAATGGGCATAGAGTTCAGTTCAGTGGTTGCTAGGAATAGGAACTAAGAGTGGAAGGAGGGGACTCTTTGGTGAAATGGGACTGTCCTCCTGTTCACTTCATCGTGGTTGTGGTTGAGGTTATGACTCAAAACTCAGAATTATATATCTCAAAAGGGTGATTTTTTTAAGTGTTGGTTATTGAAAATATGTTCTCATGCATGCTAGGCAAGTACTCCACAACTGACCCCAAAAGGATGGATTTTTACTGCATGTAAATTATACATTAGTAACCTACCTTTAAAAAAATTGATTAGAGGCCAGGAAACAGAGCTTACTTTCACATATTCCCTATAAGTAAGAGGGCTTATTTATTCTGAATAAGGAATGATTTTTTCATTGAAATGCAGCTACATCAGTATTTAAGATGTAAATTTATAGTCTTTAATGGACATATGAAAAATAAGGACATATTTTTAAATATATATTTAACTCAAGGAATTGAAAGATACATGAGGAGTTCTACAAAAAGCAGAATAGAGACAAATATAAAAGCAGAAATTAGTGAAATAAAAAGCAAAAGAAAAATTGAAGATCAGCAAAAATAAAGATAATTTTATTAGTCTTTCAAAAGACTCAAAAACAAGCATGCAATAAGGGTGATAGGGAAAGAGATTATACAAATTTAAAATATTAAAAATAAAAATGTGAACATAGTCTTAGAGTAGAAAATGCTATGAACAGTCTTATGTCAGTGGAGACTAAGGCTAGGAGGAAGATTTGAGGAATAGGATATTGGTGTAACCCTAGACACTAATGTGACTAGGTGGTGATCAGTATTAACATCACCATGCATGGGACCAATCAACATCTTATGCCCCTGAAATGAGTGATTCACTTAGGAAGGCACAATCTCATTTCTGTGATATCCGTGCCAAGAATGCATGATCTGCCTCTCATGGTAGGGAAACACCAGATAGATCCACTTTGGGGGTTGTCTTACAAAAGGTAAGGCCTGTAGTCTCCAGATTGGAGAAAACTGAAGACACATGATAACTAAACACACTGAATGTTCCCAGATGGGTTCTGAAGTAGAAAAAGGGTCATTATGGGTAAAATATAAATGGTGTCTGTGGATTGGAGAATAATGTACTAATATGTCCTTACTTGGAGGATTGTACTGTCAACCTATATAAGAGTTTGGGGAAATTACATACATATTACTTACATATTAGGAGTAATATATTTAGGGGCATCATCCTGCAGCTTGCTCTCATGTTCAGAACAAGACTGATGGGTATGAGTAGGAGTGTGTGAGTGAGGGAAAATGATGGCTTAGAGGAAAGGTGCACTCTCCAGTTGTTCTTCAACTCCAGATTCATGCAGCTGAAGTTTTGCTTCTCAGTGAGGTGGGTGACTGAGGGGATTTACTGAAATTTAACATTGGATGGTAAAATAGCCAAAGAAACAAATTAAGAAGATTTTTACATAAAATAAGGGATGATATGTCCCAAAAGCTCAAGAGGCTGAGGGAGGAGGATTGTAAAAATCCTCCTTGATGAAAAAACAGGTCATATTTAACAAGCCCCACTCCTTGATCAAAGAGGTACATAACCAAAAAAGAAATGCAAGGAAGGGTGCATCAGTATAAGCAACAAACATCTATCCTTGCCAACAGTTTTGAATAACTCAGCAGAAACAAATCCTTCATTCCCCACCCCTTTTTTTTTTTAACTTTTTTTTTTTTTGTGTGTGTGTGTGTGTGTGTGTTTTCTCATGATGCTAATAGGTTCAATTTTGGAGAGGCAAAATTTTATATGGGTTTGTTTTGGTTTGTATTTTATTTGTTTTTTTCTTACCTTTATTTTTGTTGCTCTTATTACTCCTCCTTCATTTTCTTCCTCCTCTAATTGCCAAATTCTCCTGTTCCCACTTCCTGTCTCTCTTTTTTTATTACTCTCAGTTTTTTTATGTATCCTTCTTTATATTTTATAAGAGGGTCTGGGAAATGATTTGGACACTACAAGTTCATGGGGTAGAGATCTTGCTGCTGATCTACCTACACCAGCAACTCAGCCAAGTGACAGTGAAGACTTCATGCATGAAAGAGTCCTGCTTGAGCTTCAACACATAGAAGAGACAAAACGCCTAAACCAGGCCCAGTTAG